CGTGACCTCATACATAGACATCAAAATCTTAACCATATCTACTCTATACACTGAAACAGATTTGTTACGACTTATTTCCAAAAAATTAAAATGTATTTAAACCGGAAGTTGAGGCTGTCACGCAGAAATTCAGCACAAAACTGAAAAAATTCTTTACGGAATGACGCCGCATATCCAATTAATTATGCATATTATCCCACTGAAGACAGATCGAAGGTCATGCCGTCAAAAATTTTCAAATTATGAAATATAAATGTGACCATACAACTAACGTTCGTAGAATCACTACGTTTTCATAAGAACCCTGATTCAAAAAGATAAAATACTGTGGTTCGTTCGCAAACGTAATCCCTCGTTTAGAAAAAGTACGAAAGAACATGAAAAAAGTCAGAACTATCTCATAGGATTTCATCTGAGCAATGAACCCCGTCTTCTAGTTCAAATTTTCGTCATGAAGCATTCCTCTGATAGACAGAATTATTTGAAAAGTAAACGTAATATCTGTTACTGTATACTTCACCTAAGTAGCATGCTTTTCAGGGTGCAGGAAACAGTGAACGGAATTTTTCAATAAGAATAATAACATTTTGCAACGATATTTGATCCCCCATGTATTGCGGGAGCTACTCATGATTTAAATGCGAACAGTACGTTACTTTTAAAAACAGCGAACAATAAACTGAAGCTGACAAACAACAGCTACAGCACTCACCTGTGGGTCTTCAAACGGTAAGCTATCGAAGCTGTCGATAATCACCACGTCATCCTAAAAATTTGAACACCAAATTAGAGTAGGGCGTGGTAAATAATTACTTTAAGCCGACTTATAAAACATTTTTGTTGAGAAAAAGGCTAAAAAATGCTGATTGTTGTTAAGCGAAAATCTACTGTTAGATCTTCGGTGACGCTGATAGATACTTCATAAACTGATGCGCACTCAGAGCAAATATTTAAAAAAGGAAGCGTCTGTAGACAGAAGATTTTTCGATACAATGGCTGTAGACTAAAAGATGCATGAGAAAAGTCTTTACTCTCTGCCCACGTTTCGAAACAGTCACGTTAATGAATAGCGTGGCGCTCTTCGCTATCACTGACTCCCGAATCTCACCTGAGCATGTTTGATCGTCAATGCGACGCAGAGTCCCGCAATGCGAATCGAATCGGGAAGCATGTAGAACCAAGTCTTAGGACCACGAATACCATGGCTTATTCCGCCTGAAAGGAATAACAATATAATATATAATCAGCAATTAGAAGTTTGATCATGATGTGAAACTGGTGCAAAGCAACAAAAACGTTTGATCCTCTCAACAGCCTTTGACTCAACAGATACTCTGGTGATCGATTGAAAAATTGAGGAAGTGAGGCTCACCGTTTAAAATTACAGCAGCAACTGGCGAAAGGCAGTCTACCCTCCAAAAGGATGACGGTGATGGACAAAAGGAATGAAAACTCCAAAAATGCTTAAGGAGTAATATCGAAGAATGCAGAGAAAAATAACACCTTCTGGTCTCGTTTAAACGGTAATCACATGAAAAAATTTTACAAAGCAATGTTGCCAGACTGTCATAATCATTTTGCCATTCCCTTAAGTAGCGAACGATGTTTCACTTTGCCATTAGATGCCATTCAAAACTGCAATCTTTCTGAAGTCCTAATAATCTTTACCATGTATGAGCATTCACGAAAGTAAGCTGAGCTAGAAATGATGTTGAGGAGTGAGCAAACTAAAATTATCTTTACAAAGTTTGTTAAAAAATAGAAAACCAGTGTCATCGTTTACCTATGCCCCGATTAACAAGAGGCATGTAACCACAGATAAATTTGGGGATCTAGAAAACCTCTAGTACCTGACCTTTAGAGATCATTCGGCTGATGGCCGGACTTGCCTAAACAGCGACCGGCTTGCAAAAACCTTAAACTGTTCCGCGCTGGTATTTCTAGTAATGGAGAAGAAAATTTCTGCAGGTGGCTACCATATAGGCCAGCATCAAATCACGATTTATCGAGAGAATCTACTGTTGAGTACGGCAGTACCAAGTATGTCATTCAGGTAAAGAGAAATGCCGAGATTTCGGTGTGGGAGTGTGTGCACATTGTCAGTCGAAGAGAGGTTGGTATTTCCGGTTTGAATAAGTAACGGCTGTAGCTGTTCGTGTAAATCAACCTCGCATTAAAATATAATCGTCCGCAATGAGAATATGATTGACAGAGACATACACGTTTTATTCCCTGAAATGCAGCGATGAATAATTGTCCCGCCGGCATCATCGGTACTTTAAATATGATGAAACAACTAATAAACGCAATTACTTTTTGTCAAGTAAAAAGATGTTAATGAAAACAATAGGGAATATTAAACACTTATAAGTTATGTTAAGTCATTATTTTCAAGTGTCCAGGCGTACATTGCAGACTGCACCGTCCTTTGCTTTTACGAACCTAAAAAGGTAAAAAAAATATGCCCTCGCCGTGCCACAGCGCATGGTAGACAGGTGCAAAACCGAATCGCTGCATTAAACTTCTACGAAAGCAAGGGGATGACAAAAATATGCGATGTAAACCTGAACAATCAGTTACCGACGTTTCTCATAGGTAGTATTGAAAACAAACAATAAATAATAAACCAAATTTGTCCGCGGTAATTACTCAACAGGTCTTTCTTCAAAAATCTCAAAAATCAAAAATCAACTAAATAAAATACTATAGAACGGTGTGTTATGGAAACTAAAGCAAGCTTCACAACTGCTATGTTTATTCATTATACCGTGGCGTTGATGGGCACTGATGAAAAAGGAAAGCTTGTAACCGACGGAATGCTGGTTTTCATGACACTTTCATGGCGGGACCATTTCTAGTGCCCTTCTTTCAAGAAGCTAATGGTGGA